TGCAAACTGAGCAACTAACTTGGCATGCAGACCCAGCTGCAGACGGCATGGTTAAAGGCAGGAAGAATTCCATCTTAAAGATAAGATTGCATTTTAACACCCAGGAAGTTCAAGAGGCAAGATTCTTTAGCAAGTAGACAATACCTCAGCCCACCTTGGGGGCTGGGCAGGCAGCCTTTTGATATGCTCCCAGACCAAGGCACCAGTGTCCCAGAGAGAAATCAAGGCAGGAAATTCCTTACAGTTAAGTTAATTTTTAATATTCAGGGACCACTTAACAAGTCCCCACCCCTAAGTATTTTCATGTTCTCGAAAAATCCTCAACTGCCTATAAAACCCCCTAGACAACGCACCACTACAGACTCTCTTGTCCCCTCCTGGCGTGAGCCAGGAGCTCTGTCCTTTCACTTTATCTCTAAATAAAAGCCTGTTCCTTGCTCTCCTACCTTGACTGTTTGTGAAGCTCATTCTTCGACTCCGCAAACAAGAACCACGGCATCATTATCAAAGATGTAGAAAAATGCAACTCATACCCAGCAGGTGGGAATGTATAATTGTACTCTTTAGGAAACTTTCTGGCAGTTTCTTACAGAGTTAAACACATTTCTACCCAGTAATTCTTCTCCCAAGCATTTTTCCCAAAATAAATAAAAACTGATGTCGACAAAAAGACTCGTACATGAATATTCAGAGGAACTTACTGATAGCCTAAAATTGGAACCAATCCAATGTGCATCAATGGAAGAATAAATACAAATGCTGGAAAATCCATACAACAGAAAACCACTGAGATATGGAGAGGGCAAACTACCCATGACTGCAGCAATGGGAAACATTCCACTAAGTGGAGAAGCCCACCCAGCACACGAGTAGAAACGTAAGCATCCACCTATGTGATATCTGTAATGTGCTGACTTTGGGAGGAGGTAGACACATCTATGAATGTAAGCACACACACAGGTTCTGGTGACACCACCCCAATCTGGACACAGAGCAGTTTCACTCCAGAGCCTCCCTCCTGTTGGCCCTTCATGGTCACACTTTTCCTGTTCCCAGTCTCTGGCAGCCCCTGCAATGTTCCCCTTCACCATAATTTTGTCATTTTGAGAATATCACTTAAAGTGAATCATAGACCACATAGCTCGTAAGGCTGCATTCTTTCCCTAAGCCTTTGCTGTCCACCTAGGTTGTTGTGCGCACGCAGAGCTCATCCTTGTTATTGCTGAATAGTGTTCCATGGTGTGGACAGACCACGGTGTGTTTACCCACTCACCCTTGGAAGGACATTTAGGTTGTTCCCAGTTTTTAGCAATTATGAACAGAGCTGGCATGAACTTAAAAGTTCAGGCTTTCGTACAAACTTTTTACTTTTCTAGGATAAATTCCAGGAGCTGGGTTTCTGGGACATATAGTTTGTGTGAATTTAACTTTTTTTAAAAAAGCCTTATTTTGGGAGGGACTGAGTGGGAAGTACGGAGATTTCCTGTGTAGCCTCTGCCCCAACACGTGCACAGCCTCCCCCACTATCATCATCCCCCACCAGATGGCACATTTCTTACAACTGACGAAGTTACACTAACACTTTACTATCAACCAAAGTCCACAATTTATCTTAGGGCTCACTCTTGGAGTTTTGACAAAAGTTAATGCCATGTATCTGCCCTTGTGCTATCATACAGAATAATTTCCCTGCTCTAGAAATCCTCTGTGCCCTGCCTGCTCATCCCTCCCCGGCTCCAGTCACCACCCCCTCCCACAACCACTGGACTTTTTACGGTCTTCATAGTTCTGAGTTTTCCAGAAGGTTAGGTAGTTGGAATTATATAGTATATAATCTTTTCAGATTGTCACATTTCACTTAGTCATACGCATTTAAGTTTCTTCCCTGTGTTTTCCTGGTCTGACAGCTCATTTTCTTTTAGCACTGAATGCTATCCCATTGTCTGGATGTAACACAGTTTATCCACTCAGCTACTGAAGGGTGTATTGTATGCTTCCAAGTTTAGGCGATTATGAATAAAGCTGCTATAAATACCCGTGTGTAAGTTTTTGTGTGGACGTAAGTTTCCAACTCCTTTGGGTAAATACCAAGGTAAATACTGTGGTTGTTGGGTCAGATGGTAAGAGTACATTTAGTTTTGTAAGAAACCACCAAACTGTCTTCCAGAGTGGATGCAGCGTTTTGCATCCCCACCTGCAATAAGTGGAGAGAGTTCCTGCTGCTCCACATCTCCACCGGCATTTGCTCTGCTGTTGGCCATTCTAACAGGTGTATAGTGGTATGTCATTGGTGTCTTAATGTTTAGCTTTTGAAGAAACCGTGGAACTGTTTTCCAGCATGGCTGGACTGCATTCCCTCCGGCAATGTGCGAGAGCTGTACTCCCTCCCCATCCTGGCCAATACTTGGTGTGGTTGTTTTTTCTGATTTTAGAAACACAGTTTCCTATATGCTTCTTAAAGCTTCAGTAATAAATAGAGTCCAGGCATGGCTGAGCTGAATTCCCAGTTTAGAGTCTTGCCAGGCTGTAATTGAGTTGTTAAATTGATGGATTCTCATCCAAGGCTTGAGCGGAGAAGGATCACTTCCAAACCCACTTGGGTTGTGGGCAGAATTCAATTCCTTGTGGCTGTTGGACTGAAGGCTTCAACTCTTGCTAACTGTTGGCCAGACGCCACCTTCAGCCCTACAGGCGTCTCCAGGTTCCTGTCACACAGAGTTATCCCATACGCCTACCTGCTTCCTTAAGGACAGCACAAAAGCAGAAGAGAGAGAGGGAGATGCTAAAATCTTATGGGATCATAATCACACCCACCCGGCCACTATTGCAGTGTTCTGCTGGTTAGAAGCAACACATAAGTCTTTCCACACTCAAGGGGTGGGCATTACACAAGCGTGTGAACTCCAGGACTGACTAGGGGTCCCAGGGACCACTTCAAGAGTCTGTGCACCACAAATGTAAGTGTAGATGTAAATCATAGCTATTACTGGACTTTTGGGAAAAGCTGTAATATACCAGTAATGCTACAGCAAATAAACTAGAACTGAAAAATGTGAAGGACACAGAAATTATTCTGGGACAGGAAAAAAATATTCAAACAGTCCCTCCCTTTAAACAGTTTTAAAAGACATTTTATCCAGTTATTTTCACTGCGATTGTTGGACTAAACAATCTATTCTATCCAAATAACCGGAAGTGGAACTCACTCAAAGCCCTAATGAGCAAACACAAGTCACGATATGCTCTCATTTCATTCATAATTCCGCCAAGTCTTGGCCAAATGCTGACCGTACTTCAAATAATTACATCACAGTTTCTATGATCCATAGCCGTTCACTTTAATAAACTCTTGTGAGTCCAAAGTGTTAGTCGTGACTCACACCTCACAATGGTTCATTTGTATCCTTTGCCATCTGCTCAAGATTACGTCTGTAACCTGAATACCTCCGAACAACAGGAAGTGGGGCCATTCATTCCAAATAAGAAAGACGCACAGGCAAGTGGACGGGCGCTAAACACACAGCTGTGCCTGTTATAATGAAATGTGGCACGAATTTTTAAGACCTGGTTTTTAAGGCAAACATACCCACACACACCTCTGCCACTGGGGTGGGTTGTTGTGGGAACGCAGTGGGGCCTACAGCGTCAGTACAGCACAGTGTTTGCGGGGATGGGGGCTTGAAACAGCTGTTATCTTCTGATAAGAGAGAATCTCACGTCCACGGCACACTTGTCCAGCCAGGCGCCACCTCCCTAGCCTCTCTCCTCTCTGCCTGCACAACACTCGTGCCCGGCTGGCGTGCCCAGTGTCTCTTCCCTGAGATACTAGAAGGATGGACCCGTGATGTGCAGAGAGGGTCCAGGTGAGGACTGAGACCTGGGTGGGGTGGGGGCAAACGGCTCTGCCGTTAGAAACACCCTGTGAAGCAGTGAATCAACTTGACGAGGCGTTTTTCTCTGCGGTGTCCAGAGAATCAGGCTGGAAGCCAGGACTGTGTGGCCAGAGAAAGCTCTGAAAGGTGCTGCGGTGCCACAGAGTTTCATTTTAAAGTCTAGAAGCTTTGGGACCCTGAGAGATGTGGGAACTGTAAGAAGAATTCAGGGTTCCCATTAAATTCAAGGATCATTAGAGCTGGAACCAAAGTAAAATCTATCAAATAAGAAGGCTGCGCGGATGAAGGTCTCAGACCTCCACGAGAAGAGGCACCCCCCCTCCCCCCGACCCCCGGCTCACCTTCTGGGTCCTGTGACATGCTGACTGCCTGACGGGGCTTTCAGAGAGTTCAGAGCCGGCAGCGGCTGGAGCGGAGGGGAGGCTGCTTGGAAGCTGGGGGCAGAGATCTCTGTGCCAGCTCCTGAGAAAGAGGAGGAGGCCTTGTGAGTCGTTTTTCACATGATAGAGTAACTCACCGTGTTTACAGAGAATTTATGAGAATTAAACACCTTTTTCCTTTTTTCTCTTCGCTCAGTCACCTGCCTGGTGACCTGCGTACTATACCTTCCAATGGGTGGCCCCCCGGCTGACTGACCCTGAGACCCTCAGCTTTCTGGGCTGCAGGAAACCAGAGGACCCGGGGGTCCTGGAGTCTGAGGGCCAGAAAGTCAGGGGCCTGAGACGGTGTGGGAGGAGAAGGGGAGTTGGGGGAGCTCCTTCGGGGTCAAGCAGGGGATGGCAGCATGGGAAGGGCAAGAAGGTGCCCTCCGGACAGGCCCTGGGAAAGCAGGGGAGGAGGGGGAGGCCGGAGCCAGCCTCAGATTCTTTATCTGTGGGTGGGAGACTGCACCCCAGGCCGTGAAGGCCTCAGCTTCCCAACAGCCCTTCTCCTGCCTCCCTGCCCCGCTGACAGTGACCCAGTCGCTTCCCTCCCTGAGGCCCTCTTGCCGGTGACTCACCCAGGGGCAGACCAGGCAAAACGCGCCGACAGGGCCGTGATGCAGAGGCGCCCTGCTTCCTAACTGAGTCAGGGGCACACTGGGAGCAGATGATCTCTGGCACCGGAAAAGCACCTCCGGGGGCCTCTCGGGCAGCTTCCCCCACACCCTGTTGGCAGGGGCCACTCCCAAGCCTTCCGAAAAGCCTTCAGTACCTCATGCTCGCAGTGACCTCAGATTCAGGTCAGACATCACGCCAGGCCCCAGGAGGGTTCCCCACAGCCCGTGCAGCTGCGCTCCCGCTGGGGACAGGAGCCGGGCACAGCCGGAGAGGGCCTCCCAGGGTTCAGGAAGCACCTCAGGTCCCCAGGCCACAGTCGCTAGGGACCCGGCCCCACTGCTGACTGCAGGCAGCTAGCACCCTGCAGGGAGATGCTGAAATCACCAGGGAACAATGTGCCCGGGTCTCTGAGGGTGCTGAGGCAGGAGGGCAGGAGGGCAGGACAAAGGGGAGGCAGGCAGGAGGAGGGGGAGGTAGCCACGGTTGGAGCAGCACCTGCTCAACAGAAAGAAGCTTGTGTTCTCCTGTCTCCATCTCTGTCTCCTGTCTCCATCTCTTTCTCTCTGTTTCTCTGTCTGCCTGTCCCCTGCTCCCTCCATCTGCATTTGCAGCGGTGCCCAGGCAATGCTCCGCTGGGGAAGCACACAGTAGCCAGATCATGTGAACAAAGAGCCGTGCTGGGTGGGTGGCCCAGGGTCAGGGCCGCTTTGCATGCTTTCTGGGCAGGGCAGAAGGCTGCAGGATGCCCATGATCTGCTCTGCCTGGCACAGGGCCACATGGCTCTGCCTCTGTTTATTTACCTTGTTCCTGGGTTTGCAGGCTCACACACACCTCTGTGCAAAGGGTGAAGGTAAGCCAGGGAAGGAGTAAGAGCAGGAAGGGGAGTCAGGGCAGTGGAGGGGGCCATATCCTGAAGCTGTGCATCTGTCTGAGGAGACGTGGGACCCAGTGCCGTCTCCTTTAACAACCAGTCCTTCAGCAAATGCCACATTTCCACATGACTCCCCCTCCCCCATATCAGAGGTGTTTTCCCAGCCCTCCCCATGGCCCTGAATCTTGGGTGTCCTGTACTAAGCCTTGGCTTCTGAAGCCAGACCCTCATAGTGGGTGAAGAAGCCAGGAGCAGGCCCAGGATGATGGAGGTGGGTGGTGAGAGGCAGGCTGGGGACATGGGACAGGGGGGGCCGTGGAGGTGCCAGAGCAGGGGCGAGCCGGTTTCTGGGCCCTGGAGCTGTGTCCCACCTGGGAAGGTGCCAGGCGGACTGGGGCAGAAGTCAGCGTGCAGATTCACTCGGACGGAGGGATCCTGGCTCACCACCAGGAGATGCTGCAGAGCCACCAGCATGTCCCCACAGCTTGCAGTCACCACCCCACAGGGGACCTAGAGCTGAGCCCAGTTAATTTGGTTTAGAGAGCAAAGGCATTCTTGCTTCTGGTGTTCTGTTTGTTTGACCTAGTGACATCCTGCATCCTTCACTGTCCCCAGAGCCTGGGCTTGGGGCCAAGCCTCCCTCCCATCAACAGCAGTGGGACACAAGACCTGAGATCCCACTTGTTGAGCAGTGATTTCCTTACAGGTGCGCCAAGCAGAGGAAACACCACCTTCCCACCACTCTGGGCCAGACAAAACTGAGCAGCCAGCCGTGTTCTCTGCAAAGGCTGTCCAGTCAGGTGGCTGAGAGGGCCTCGTCCCCACAGAAGCCCCGTCATTAAAGCTGCATCTAGCAGGAGAGACCACAAAGGCACAGGGGGACAGGGCCCACAGACCAGGAGGCAGCCGCTGGCGAGCACGGGTGCCGGCCGCCCTGGGAGGGACTCCGGCCACACGCAGGTCCTGTCGGGGGAACATGCGTGGGTGTGCACTGGGGTCTGGGTGCTGCCTGCACGGCTCCCCGCCAGAGGCTGGTGACAGCCCCACTGCTCTCCAGTGTGCACAGAGACAGACCACAACAGATTGCCCTCACGGCCTGTGTGAGCCCCCGGGGCAGCACCCAGCATGCTGTCCACACTGGGTCGGTATTTGCCATTCTTTATTGCACGTTTTCTTCAAACAGCGGACAGCCTGGGGTTCAGATTAAGTGAAGAGCTGGAGCAGTTTCAGCAGGTGGACCAGTCAGGCTCGGGCGCCCCCCTATCAAGTGAGTCTCCCGTAACACCTGCCAGAAGCGGCTTGGTGGGGCAGTCCTCTCCTGTGCCTCATAAGCGTCATGCTCGGGGCCCCACCCCCGCTGTCACCCAGGCTAGCTGAACAGAGTTTCATTTCACCAAAATGCACCAGCGTCGACGTCCTCAGTTCTTTAGGTTAAGGATTCCTACATGAATGTTCCCCAAAGAATGGGACAATTTAGCAGTAAGACCCTATAATTTTTGCAAGACACAAAGAAAACACAGCCTGTGTGTGTGCTTGCCCCTCCTCACACTGAATTTACTGGCTTTTAAAGCATATACCTCTCCACTGGGCAGAAATCCTGGTTTCCTCACTTCACCCAGTCTACCTACTGGGGCAGACACCACTAATTACCAACTCAATATCCACTCCCCCACATTCTAACTAATAGGGCCTCAATTATGTTCAGGTAGGTAGAATGCCCCACTAAAAGTATTCACTGTTTCAGATTCTCTGGAAGCCAGGGGTAGCCCCATGACACTTCTGGCAAATGAGACATGAGCAAAAATCTGCTGGAAAACTTCCACTTCCCTGAAGTAGGTCCACCCTTCCTTCTCCTAGTCTTTCTTCCTCCTTGAACCACAGCAGCAATGCCTGGAGCTGCAGCAGCCATACTGTGGTCATGAAGCAATGATCTAGGGAATGAACGCCAACATGAAGGATGGTAGAACAGAGAAATGAAAGGAGCAAGGATCCCTGACAGCATCACTGAGGCCACCAGCCCGATATGGAGCCTGTGTTAGTCATTATGGGGCCTGGGTTAGTCGTTATGGAGCCTGAGTTAGTTGTTACAGGGCCTGGGTTAGTCATGGAGTCTGGGTTGGTCATTATGAAGCCTGAGTTAGTAAGGGTGCATGTTGTCTGAATGCCCCTAAGATGTACCAGAGCTTAGATGGGAAGCTTTGTGATGTGATCAGATCTGGGCTGAAATCAGGGGGCATTTTGGCTGCTCCCTGGTGTATTGTTGCTGATAAAGACATAGGAGGCACCTGGTGAGGACTCTAAACAGGGCTCCCTGGGCACATGTTGGCTGTTGAAACTGTTCTGTGAGGTTTTTCCTGTTCTAAGAGCTCTCCACCATGTCTGTGCCCAGTGGGATGGTCGTGGAGTTCCAGGGGTCCTCTAATGAAATGGGTAACATAGAGGCAGGATCTCTGCTTTTCTGGACCTCAGGTTTTGTTTGTTTGATTTTCTTTCAGTTTTATTATAAACTAGGGTTTCTTCTTGATCTAACCCTCTCTGTGTCCATCTTAGGGGAGCAAGATTACCAGTACATGGAGGTGGAAAGGAGAGAGATTTCACTGGAAAACATTTCCTGACTCTGATAAAATGACCATGTACTATTAGGGTTGGGGATGGGAAGGTAATCCCACTTATTTTTATCAGAGAAGTGTTTAGTTTTTCTTCCTGTTTTTACAAGAACACACATGAAGTATAACTGGGCTTGGTATGAACTCAATCACCCTGAACCCAAATATTTACATTCCAGGTGAATTAGTCTTGCTCTTGTCTGCTGGATCAGCTCAGGGGCCAGCATGCACACAGGAAAGAATGTCCCACCTGGGACGGAGGAGCCTCGGGCTCCTGAGGGTGTCGCTAAAGCCTTTCACCCTATTTGCTCCGCCCCCAAGGCCCTGCCTCTATAAGCACTCAGCCTCGGGCAGGCCCACCCATTGCACTCGGTGAAAGTGAACAGACCACTCCCAGGCCACACGGTGATGCAGCCCCCTGCCTGCTTGGGCAGAGCTGCCTGGGGCTGCCTACAGAGATGCCCAAGCCATGTCACTACTATAAGGCAGGGCTCTAGGGCTTAGGGGATCAGCAGACACCTGAGCGAGATTCCCTGCTCTATTCTGCACCCCCACTAGCCCCCCAAATCCAGCAATGGGGAGCTTCCTTATCTGTCCCTCTACGTAGCATCCATACATTTTTTCTATCACCCTGTAGACAACCCAGACTGCTCACAGCATTTTGGGGCAGGAGTTGGAGGAGAGACGCTGGCCGTATACCTCTCCGACAACCCTCCCCACCCATCCAGGTTGGTCCCACTGGGCTGTACACTCCAGGGAAGTTGGGGCCATGCTGTTAATTTTGCATCTCTGGCTGTAGAGGTGGTGCTTGCATACAGTAGGTTCTCTGTGCTTGTTGCATTGAGATATTCCTT